TAGCATTTTTGAAATATATAAAAACCCCAGAAACACGTTAACTGTTTATTATTTACAAAAGCAATGAATATATTGGGTTTTCAAAGAAAAATTAACACAAAAAAGCAATTGAATTGTGAAAGTTCTGTGCTCTCCACTTCCCTGTACGCGTACAATATATACGGAGTAATATTAGTATAGGTAAAGTTATGTATTGCTGTGGAAAATTGATTTCGAGATTTCAGCGGAAATGCACGTTTTGGGGTCCCCTGATCCCGAAAATGTCTCCATCCGCCTGGTGTCTGTACACTACTAGCGCCCAAACCATACGTAGGATTTTTTCCAAATTGAAGAAACCACTGTCCATTTAGCTCGAGTCGAAACTTTGAGAATTTGAAAAATAATCTTCAAAATTTGGGGGTACTTCACATGAAGCTGTCAGATTAATTCCAAAATTTTCTCGTCGGCAGCTCCAAATTTCTTGTAAGAACAGAGTAACATGCACTTATAACGTAGCATAGGTTCGATTTTCAGTTCACTCTCAATTTTCAAAAAATTCAAAAGTATGTGTTTTCTTCGGTGTCTTCCTGCATAGACAGTTCTTTCATTTCGGTCATGTGCATTTTTTTTTTTTTTTAAATGTTATTTTCGCGCAATATATGCAGTTTAAACAAATTACAAAAACAAGATTTTCTAAAAAAACGCTCCATTTATTTTCTTTAAACTATTAATAGAGAGAGTACTATATGTACCCTATGACAAAACACCATATTGATCTAATCTTTTGTTTATTCAAAAATTACAAAATGTAATTTGTTTGACTTGTCTCACGATGTTAATATTTATATTAGCGGCAATTTGTTTACATTACTGTATTTATGAGTACATGTGCTTTAAACAATGTCATAATGGTTTTCAAAACTTTGACCGCCTTCTGTGAAAACTAGCTCAAAATTACGCATGTTTGGAAATGCTCAAACGTCATTTACTCAAAAACTGCTCCAAATTATTTCTTCATATATTTCGAACGGATAGTGCTAAATGTACTCTTTAATATGATGTAAAGTTAATTTTGGTGTATTTTTCGTATTTTCAAACAAATGTAAATTTTTTTGAAGATCTCTCACACCGTTGGTTTGCATATTTCCAGCAATTTGTAAACACCATTGTATTTGTGAGTTAAAGTACTTAAAATAACTTAAAATTAAGATTTTTTTAAAACTCAAAATATTTGTGAAAAAGCTTTAAATTTTGAATTTACAGTAGCGCTTAAACACCAGTTTTAAAAATGAATCCAAATTTTTTCAATAAAATTGCGATTTAGGTCCAGGCTTTACTGTTCTTTAATAATCTTAAAATAATATTTCCGCTCTACAATAATAGGAGACTGAAAAATTAAGAAAATGTCAAAAAAATACACTTTGGGCAGTGACAGATGGCAGCTGGCAAGTCCGAGTAGCTAGCAGAGTCCAAAGGAAATGTAATATGAACTCTGAATTTTTCAAGATAACAGTAGTTGTGTCAATGTTCACTTCCAACATCAATATTTTGAATCCATCAATTCACAGCAAAAGTAACCATAAAAGCCTGTACTCCTTTCTTGAAACTTTCAACTAAACAAACTCTCAGGTCATTAATTGTGGGAAAATTCATAAATCAAATCGCCTACACTTCTTGAAAGTCTCCAATATAAATACACAATGTTTTTCCAGATAGATACTATTGTTTTGAAAATTTATGTGTGAAGTCCAAAAGGAATATAATGGTGCTAAAGATCATCAGCTGATAAAGGGAATATGCATGGTGAAAAGAGATGGGTGGGCCCTTGCAGATCGTATCCATCTTCCGCCAATGGGCTTCAAGCATCAGCTTTTGTTGTAAGCATTATAGATGTAAAAATTATGACGTTGTTACAAGCCAGTGAACAGAAATACAGTATGAAGCACTTTGCATCTTTTATTTCAATAACACCTTAGTCTTATTTTTAGTTGGTCACTGTTGAAAATTGTCATTTTATACGTCTTGCATAGTGTTTCTCAACATTTCTCACTGTTCATGCAAACATGCGGCCAACGTCTTGTCCTGCTTTTCAAACCAATTGCCCATGTTGGGGGTCACATGAATTGTGATGCAAACTGGTGCTACGCAAAACAAACAAAAGTCGGTGCAGCAGAGGAGTCCACCTATTTCTTTCCATTTGGTAGTATGTCACTAGTTTGTAATTTGTAAAGAAAATGTAAAAGCTTCTGGACAACTCTCATGCTGACTTTTGCATGCATTAACCAATTAAAAACTCCACAAATTTACTCAGAGAATGCAATACGAAAATTCTCAATCTATTGATGCGATGACAACAAACTGAGGAGAAAAAAAAAAGGCAATGGGCGGGGGTACCCCCACGCCTCCCCCTTGGATATGCCACCGAGGATGATGAAGGACAATGAAACAAACTGATGAAATAATGAGAAACAATTATTCACATGGATTAAGAAAGGCCCTCATTTATTCACACATTATGGCCAACTACAGATAGTTCTGTCAAGCTGAACAAATTGGCACACATGGACTGTATACCAAACAATAACACAAACATAACCTTGGATAACATGACAGTTGCCTTGGACCAATGAATAGATTTGGCCAATATCATTTGTGCAACATGCAACAAACATAACGGATTTTTATTTTATTCTACCAATACATATGATGACAATGATAATGTAATAAAATTAACATTTAAGACAATTATGTAGACTGTAGAACGTTTATGATCTTCACATATAGGCTGTTATAGAAAGAAAACATTCAATTAAAAATACTTAATACATGAGAGTACATTTGAAAGTTTTGGGAATGACTGCTTCTACAGATGCAATAGAAAGAACTTCATTTTGTGCCACATCCTTTAATCAGATAGATACGTTGTGATCTTATTTCAACAGTATTATGCTATTAGTCCTGAGATATGACCAACATTAACTCCAAGTTCCAGCAACATACTACACTGCCTCACGACGTGCTTCAGGAAATCACAATTAGTTGCTTGTGTCATACTAAAGTTAACTATTCATACTAATTTCTGGCTAATTTCCACTCTATGTTGCTCTTAAGATACTTTTGTAAAGTTGTTCGACCTTCTTAAGATTGAATAAGCATCATTTAACACTTCTTCAAAATGACTTTCTTCTTCAAAGAAATTTTGGAAATACTAATTTTCACCATTACTTTACAGATGTCAACAATTCAGTTGTGACAGAAGACTATAGTTTGGGCTTTCTATAGTAATAAAAATATCAAGAAAAAAATACGTTTTTGACCTTTATAATTGGTATGGAATAATTTGAGCCTTTTGACACTGCAGTGTTCTCAATTCACATTAGAAATACGGTAAATGTATGGTAATGGATACACTTCGAAGTTGTCAGCTCTGCTCACAATACTGTCGAGATTTTATGGTCATCAATTTGAAGATCCATGAACTGCGATTTACAAAACCAGCCAGAATATACATTTTTTAACAATTCATTATGATTTCATTTATTTTTTATTTATTGATTACTAAAAATGAAATGTACTTTTTAATTACCCAACATTTCACAGCAATCCAGCTGTTTCACATACATTAATACTCAACAACTAACAGAACTGACAAACTTTTATTTTGTACCTGCCCTGAGACCAATACATAGCATTATACTGCGATTTATTTACAGCTGCCTCTGACAGGACATCAGCTGTTACGGTGTCATCCAATTGGGAGCTTGCACATCACTTATGATGTAGGGTGACCTTCGACCTCCCAATTGAAGACATCGTAACATCTTATTTACATCAGAGGGAGATCCTAATAAATCTAAGTATAGAAATATTTGCTCATATCTTCCCGAAATGATTCTCGATCATTTCATAACTACAGCTTGGAAGTTTGGCAAAATGTTTTCTTCTTGCTGTTACAATTTGATGACTTAATAATAGGTATTCCGTAAGTGAGCTTTGGATGATATTTAGACAGTTTTCAACCCCCCCCCCCCCACCGCTTTCAATTTTTTTCTACCCTGTTTTGTCACTAATTCTGATTTTCTCTTGACACTGATTTATATCAATTTGGAAATGCACATATAAGTCTAGTGGCATGATCACATTTTGTCTTCCTCTGCAAGCGGAGGTGCAATATCAGGCAGGAAGTGTTGAACTTGGGTTGCAGGGTTACAGGATATTAAAAACTGTGAAGGAAGCCAGATGACACTAGTAACAATTCTTGTATATTTTGATGGATTCAAGCTTTCTTCAGATACAAGGAATCCCATCCTATGCAAAATTATGGCCTCTGACTTCTTTTGAGATATAGACCTCCTTGTCAATAATATATTAAATTTTGGCAAACAAATTTCTTGAAACAAATCACGTCTGGGAGGTATAGTAATTATTTAAATTATTTCAATAAAATTTTTTAAAAGAAATGCATTTCTCAAACTTTATATGCCTTCTGCACCCTAAGTTTGGTTAGAATAAAAGAATTTTCGCCTGCTACTTTTGGGCAAAATGAATTGAACCTGAACTTTTAGGCTCTATTCAACCCATTCCTAACAGTGAATTCATGAACAACACTTCCTACCATCATCAAAATAATGGTGAAAAATGCTAAACATTTAGTTTGTAGTTATAACCAGCATTTCTATAATAGATTGCTTGAACATTTTGACAACTTCTAGATAGATGTTGCCATTTGTGACTTTTGTCTCAGTGTAAGGTTCACCCAATATAGCTAATAGCAAATTTATATATTATTATACACATTCTTTGGAAACAGTCTTCTACAAAATTATTATTGAACCCCCATTATAGAAAAGGAAATAAATTTTTAAAAAAATACGGTACTAATGTTCTATTCATTTCTTGCAAAGAGTTCTCCATTACGTGCTATCAAAATGTTGAAGAACCAGTAGGAGGAGCTTACGGCTTAAATTTTTAGACCTTAGCTAAACCATTGCTGTTAAGTGAAGAGTGGAGAGAATATTTATTTAAGTCTCCACTTTTGGTTTAAGAGAATGCCCAACAGAATTGAGAAAATCATTTCCCCCTTTACTGAGAAGTTTCTCTGATAGTAGAGAATTAGGCACCATGTTACTGTTGAGAAAAAGTCATTCACAAATCTTTCAAACAGACCCTCACACCATCGAAGTAATTTGGATCAATTTGCCAATTAAAGAATTTTTATTGTGCTCAAAATTTGATACAATTTCATCTCAACCTATTCAGTTGATTTCATCCCAGTGAAACATAACTCGTGTCACATTACAACTTGTATTTTAAGCCCCCCTTGGGCAAAGAGATGGGGAAACGAGTGACGCAATGTAGCCACTAGCAACGGCCTTCCATGGTTGGAAATTGGAAATTTGTGGCATATTATCTGGAAACCACTCGCACTTAGCAAACCTTTTAACTTCCCCTGTAAGCAACCGAGGGGAGAGACAAACCTGCTTGCTTCCCCGGGGACGTTCTGTGGAAGAACAACTTCCATTAGACTGAACTCAATGCTTTCGTGTTTTTCTGCATCACACCCATGGTGTCCAGCCTTCATAGAGAAGAGCTAAGTTATCCAAGCTCATAGCTTCACGCGTAACATAATCAACCTACAATCAAAATAATATTTTAATTTCATGTTCATTTTTTAACATACAATAACTACATATTGTGAATAATATTTGACTGACTTGTTCCTGCACAGAAATTTTTCTGTTCAAATCAGGATCACGTCCCTCAAGCTTCATGCGAACTCTGCGCCAGACACCTAATGCATAAGCATTTCTTTCTTGCACCGCTGAAAAGAAAAATTAATGTGAAGAAAAATTAAATTTACACCATAAAAAAATTGTCAATGTCCTTTGCCTTTGGGCATCTGTAGTTTGTCCCAGTGGGCATCTGTAGTTTCATATCAAGATATTTGCCCCTATGTAGCAAGATTATGTGAACACTGAGGGTCATTGTAGAATTGCATGCATCTTACTACTAGCTATCATAATGTCATACTCAATGTCATACACAACTATTTACATGTTACTAGTGTAGTAATGCTATTTCACAAAACCAATGGATTAAATTGAAGAGTTAATAGAAAATGACTAAAAAAAAATCTGTTTCACATCAAAACAAGATTAACGTTTTAATCCAAATTCTCAAGTTTATGTTAACAAAAAGGATAACTGTGGAACGCTGATAACTTTAACACTAATAATTGAATTCCTTGATGTCTCACGCTTGTTGATTCACTTTCAGCTTCCCTAAACACAGGCAGATTAAAAAATTACAAACTAATAACTTAGATAGTATATTGCCATTTTACGGACATGTAATTAAAGTTTCATGGGGCTTTTTTCTTTTTCAATAGAGGACCACCTACAAAAGAATTGATAAACATTGTTTGCTTGCACTCACTCACTCACTCATAATTCACACCACCTAAATTAACTTGAAAACTAAAGAAAATATGTTTACATGGGTTCGCATTCAAAAAATATTTGTTTGTTTGAAATTCTCTTTGCATGGTAGGTACAATTCTTTGTAACAATTTTTACTACTACAATATATAAATGAAGGGCTCTGCTCTGGGTGGTCTATGCTACATTTTCATCAAAATGAAGATAATCCTACTAACGTACTCGCCATATCATTAATTATATTTTGTGTCAATATTGAGAAGTTAGTGTAACAAATATAGCTACAATACAAAATCCTTGTTTTTTACTCTGTGCCAGGGGATGTTAGATTAAATTCTTTCTCTCGTCATTTCTCAGAAGCAAATGATAAAGGCAAATCTAGACCCAACCCCTCAAACGTACATTACATTTCATTCTCACACACACACACACACACACACACACATTCATTCATTCATTCATTCTCACACACACACACACACACACACACACATTCATTCATTCATTCTCACACACACACACACACACATTCATTCATTCATTCATTCTCACACACACACACACACATTCATTCATTCATTCTCACACACACACACACACACACATTCATTCATTCATTCTCACACACACACACACACATTCATTCATTCATTCTCTCACACACACACACATTCATTCATTCATTCACACACACACACACATTCATTCATTCATTCTCACACACACACACACACACATTCATTCATTCATTCTCACACACACACACACATTCATTCATTCATTCATTCTCACACACACACACACATTCATTCATTCTCACACACACACACACATTCATTCATTCTCACACACACACACACACACACATATTCATTCATTCACACACACACACACACATTCATTCATTCTCTCACACACACACATTCATTCATTCTCTCACACACACACATTCATTCATTCTCTCACACACACACATTCTCTCATGCACTCTCTCTGTTTTAATAGAGTTGTATATTGTTTTATACAGTTGAAAAACCACTTTCCATACCTTTCCCTGTCCGGGGATCCCTTCCAGTTTTGGTATTTTTCACAACAGCAGGTGAACCTTTTTTGGGTGATAAATATAACCCTTCTTGACGTGTAAGTGGTGGTCTTCGTAGTTTTCCATACGTAAACATTTCTTCAGAAGTTGTTTTTGGTTTCATTTGCTCCCTCAGATCATCAGCAAACTGTAGAAGCTCTTCATAAATGGCACCTATAGGTAAAAATATCCCAATTTAGCAGAAAATAATAGTTGCAGGTAATAAAATAATTTATAATTTTATGAAATTATTCTTATTAAGATCATTTTTGGTATTACCAGTCTTTGCTTTAATAATCTGCAACTGGTCCAAAGCTTGCTGAATGCTTTCTGTATCAATATCTTCAATCATCAGATCTCTTATTAATGTTGAGAAACATTCTGAAAATTTCTTGTACGAGGACAGATAGTCATTGAGACCACTGCATATTCCAGACTCAGACTGGACAAACGGAAACAAAGAACATACTAAGTAATAAAAAGCTTAAAAATATGAATGATCCAATTAAAAAATAGCCTGATTCACACTTACTTTTGCCATCGATTTAAGTAGGTTGCGTACATCTGACACTAGTCGATGATGAACAGAAAGGAATCCTCTGATAGTCATAACATGCTTCTTGAGATTTTCTTGAGCAGTAAATAAATCATCATGTAATTTTCCTTTTTGCTCTTGAAGAGACTTGACTTTATCTACAAAACACAAATGAGACAAAATATAATATACCAGCTCCATGCAAACGTGAATGGGAGTGTGTGTATAATTACTTTTCATTAACTGCACACTCACACTAAAATTAGAAGAGAGTTTCTCATAAATTACAACTAAAAGCATCCACACCAAAACATTTGTTTAGTAAAATTCAAAGAACTTTTCATAAGTCAATGAACCTCTGGTAGTTGAGAATTTGCACCTGCATCCTATAATTCAAATCTGGGGCAAAATTATAAATTGCTTTTTACTATCTTTCTTTGTGGACCAGTGTGGTGTTCTTCTTGAGAACATGAAATGTAATTCGTATTTCAATCTTCTTTTTCTTTATATTCCCTTTACATTTAAGGCAGCAATGGAGCTGTTCTGTCAGTTTGGTAAAACGTTTGGTTTGTTAAGTGTTAATGTTGATATTATGCACACCATTATACACAAATACAGGCATGGATCC